AGCCCAATGACACCCAATGGAGCCCAACGCCACCCAAGGGGACCCAATGGAGCCCAATGACACCCAAGGGGACCCAACGCCACCCAAGGGGACCCTACGCCACCCAAGGGGACCCAAGGGGACCCAACGCTCCCCAAGGGCACCCAAGGGCGCCCACCTCCATGTGCTCGATGTGGCGCAGGTGGCTGTTCTTGGTGGCCAGCAGCAGCGCGCGCGCCTCGTCCAGCTGCGTCTTCACCTGCAGGCTCTCGTTGTAGAGCAGCGAGAACTGCGACTGCAGCACCTTGTAGTCCAGCGTCTCCTTGACGGCCTCCTCGGGCAGCGCGCGCAGGGCCACCTTGAGGCGCTCATGGCCCCGCACGGCCTCCTGCAGCTCCTGCTGCAGCTTCTCCAGCTCTGCCATGCGGCTGTTGGCCAGCTCTTGGTTGCTCTCCAGCTCCGCGTTGAGCATCTCAAACTGGGGGAAAATGGGACAATTTGGGCGGTTTGGGGGGTTCTGGAGATTTGAAGAGGTCCCATAGGATGTCCTTGGAGCCCAACAAGTCCCTAATGTCCCTCTAGAACCTGCAGGAACCCCCCAGATCCTCCAGCTCCATGTTGAACATCTCAAACCTGGGGAAAATGGGACAATTTAGGCGGTTTGGGGGGTTCTGGAGATTTGAAGAGGTCCCCGGGTCCCATAGGATGTTCTTGGACCCCAACAAGTCCCTAATGCCCCTCTAGAACCTGCAGGAACCCCCTAGATCCTCCAGCTCCGCGTTGAACATCTCAAACTGGGGGAAAATGGGACAATTTGGGTGGTTTGGGGGGTTCTGGAGATTTGAAGAGGTCCCCGGGTCCCATAGGATGTTCTTGGACCCCAATAAGTCCCTAATGTCCCTCTAGAACCTGCAGGAACCCCCCAGATCCTCCAGCTCCGCGTTGAGCATCTCGAAATGGGGGAAAACAGGGCAATTTGGACAGTTTGGGGGGTTCTGGAGATTTGAAGAGGTCCCCGGGTCCCATAGGATGTCCTTGGACCCCAATAAGTCCCTAATGCCCCTCTAGAACCTGCAGGAACCCCCCAGATCCTCCAGCTCCGCGTTGAGCAGCTCAAACTGGGGGAAAATGGGACAATTTGGGCTGTTTGGCGGGTTCTGGAGATTTGAAGAGGTCCCCGGGTCCCACGGGACGCCCCTTTGCCCCCATGTCCCCAATGTCCCCCCTGGTCCCCGGTGTCCCCGGTACCTTCTGCATGCTGAGCGTGATCTGGCCGCCCTGGAAGCCGCCCGAGCTGCCGGATGCGTAATAGCCCGAGTTGAGCTGGGGGGGGGACATTGGGGACATGGGGGGACATTGGGGGGACACGGGGGACATTGGGGACATGGGGGGACATGGGGACAGGAGATGGGACACGTCAGGACCCTGTGTCCCCCCCGTGTCTCTCCATGTCCCCCCAATGTCCCCAGTGTCCTCAACGTCCCTATGTCTCCCCAATGTCCCTATGTCCCCAATGTCCCCATGTCCTCAGTGTCCCCAATATCCACCAATGTCCCCATGTTCCATTGTCCCCATTGTCCCCAACGTCCCTGATGTCCCCCCAATGTCCTCAACGTTCCCCAATGTCCTCACGTCCTCCCATTGTCCTCTTGTCCCCAATGTCCCCCCAATGTCTCCAACAACCGCAATGTCCCCATGTCCCCCAATGTCCCTGACGTCCCCCCAATGTCCCCATGTCCCATTGTCCCCATGTCCCCCCATGTCCTCGTTGCGCCCAATGTCCCCATTGTCCCCATGTCCCCCCGTTGTCCCCAGTGTCCCCTCGTTGTCACCTGCTCGAGGGCCTCGGCCAGGTGCCGGTTGAGCCGCTGCTCCCTCTTGCGCAGCCGGGCGCTGTCCCACTGCAGGGCCTCCACCGTGGTCTCCATCTCCAGCACCTTGGTCTCCGCCGAGGTGGCCTTGTCCTGCAGCTCGGCCAGCTGGGCCACCAAGTGTCCCCAAGGGAGACAGGACGTCGTTATGGGGCTGCGTTGCGTCCTGGTGTCCATAACATGTCCCCAATGTGCCCCAATGTGTCCCAATGTGTCCCCAAGGAGGTGGCCTTGTCCTGCAGCTCGGCCAGCTGGGCCACCAAGTGTCCACAGAGATGACATGGGGTGACACAGCAGGTGACACGGGGGTGACACGGGGGTGACACGGAGGTGACACGGGGTGACACGGGGGTGACACGGGGGTGACATGGGGTGACACAGCAGGTGACACGGGGGTGACACGGGGGTGACACGGGGGTGACATGGGGTGACATGGGGTGACACAGAGGTGACACAGAGGTGCCATGGGGGTGCCACGGGGGTGACACAGAGGTGACACAGGGTAACACGGGGGTGACACGGGGTGACACACAGGTGACAGAGGGGTGACACGGGGGTGACAGAGGGGTGACACGGGGGTGAAACACGGGTGACAGAGGGGTGACACGGGGGTGACAGAGGGGTGACACACGGGTGACAGAGGGGTGACACACGGGTGACAGAGGGGTGACATGGGGGTGACATGGGGGTGCCCCGGGGGTGACACGGGGTGACACGGGGGTGACACGGGGGTGACACGGGGGTGACACGGGGGTGCCCCGGGGTGACACAGAGGTGACATGGGGTGACAC